TAAAATTACATATGTGAAAAATAATTCAAATATCTCGATCATTAAAACTTAATGTCCAATTAAATGTTCAAATTGTTTTCCATGGTTGTCCACAAAAAGATGTAATCTTTTGCGCCTAGACTTACAGCTGCTTCAATCCCAGCTGTTGATATAAAACTCAAAAAATCTTGAAAAATCCACAATTGTTTCCCAAGATAAATCGTGCATAAGTATTTTTAACAAACGGATAAAAGGATAAACGCGCAGTGTTGCTGTTTTTATCGGAATATTAAAATAACAGTTAAATCTAAAGTTTAAAGGGAATTCCAAGTTTCTGACCGAAACGTTCACTTTATAATATGAAAAACCAACCTTAGACAAACAAATCTAAAGTAAGAAAGAAAAACTAAACAAATCCTTAGAACAGTAGTTTTGGGTATGTTTAATTCTATAGAGATTTGCCTACTACTTATATGTGGATTCTGTTGAATTAAAGCAAGAACATTGATTGAATTATCTTCGGTCATATCTCTACTACGTCGTTTAAAACAAGAACGATGAAAACTACCAGTTTCTCTTAATCTTTAACAGGATTTACAGGTTTTCTAGGCTCTCTGTCGTTAGGGCGGTGTTATCTACGTATCTAATGTTGATAGAAAAAAGGCTTAGATATCAACAGCATTTGCAATTTCATTGATTTTTTTGGTATATATAAGAATCCCCTCGTAATATGTTAATCGTAAAATTGAATCGTAATATGTACTATATTGAAATCCCGTCATATATGTATTAAAATAACGAAGAATAATTTTAGTGTATTTTAGTTCGTATCTTTCGAGTTATATATATTTCAATTCAAATTTATTTCAATATATATTTCAATCCCAAATATATTTCAATTCCTTTTTAGGTCGGCTCGTGTTAATTAAACCATTTTAGAGTTGTTTATTTATTACGCAGCTGCGTATTTTCCTGTCGATAATTCTTTGATTGAAGCCGCCCATGTACTGCGTTTTTACATTAATAATTTACGTTAATTTCCGTTGTGTTTTGTTTATTTCAAGTTATGTGAACGAATTTTAAAGATATTTTCATCACTCTCGTTAGAGCCGCAAAGAGCGATGAGATTGAGCGTTATGCACTTCGAATTTGAAAAGTTTTCTGTTTTTGCCGTTTTTTATGGAATATTAGTGGTTTTGCAGTTAATTGTGCAGTACGTGTTACGTTACGTGCAGTTGTTCCAGTTTTGTAAAAATGTACGGCTGATTTGTTTATTCCTTACCTATGTTTGTCCCCGGCTGATCAATGTTCCAGATCATTAAAGCAGTTTTTTTATTCGTGTTCGGAGATTTCCCATCCAGTCCTACTCACAGAAATTTAAAGAGATCCAGTTCCCGACCCAGGTATTATGCAGAGTGAAATTTAGTGAAATTTAAAGTAACTTTTGTGTATAAATTTAAAAGTCAAGATAGACATTTTTTTAACAATAAATGCTTTCATTAAAATTTAAAGATTGTAATAATTAAAAAATTGTGAATTTTAGGGTTTGACTTTAGCTGTCGATTTATTTGTTCAGTTTTTTTAATAATAATGTTAACTTATGACAGCTCGTTTTATTATTTTTGATATACATTTGTTTTGTTTAAAAAAAAAAGGTTAACCTCTATTGCAGTAACAACAATTTTGAAAGATTTTGTAGCAATTCCCCATTTTAAACAGATAGGACACATGTAAAATTGTAAAATTTTCTCTGTATTTTTGTAATTTGTGACTATTAATATAGTGTTTTATATTGTCTCTTTTGTGTAACTATTTGTAGTCAGACACAATAAATGTTAAATTATGTTTCTTAACATTTTGTTTATTTTTTTAACTAACCTTTTTTGAGTCTTATTTGGAAAAGATATATTTTGAATTTCTAATAATTATTTCCCTAGTTACAACTAGCTGTTGTAATGGTTATAATTAGGCACCTCGAAGTGGCGTCCTTTTTAAATTACTAGAGGTGTTTCCTGTTTCTTTCTGTGTTTTGTTTTGTTTATTCCAAAAGATTCATGACCCTTTGTTTCATTTTTTTGTAGTTGCCCTAATTCGACCCCTTGTCATTTTACTTATCCACGACCCCAGCTCTCCTAACAAACCCTGAGTGCCGTTCGCATACGTTTCGATTATTTTGCTTGCCCTATCTTTAGCCCCATTGATTTCTGTTCCTAATTTTCTAGCCCTTATTATTATAAGGGTGGTAGGCATACCCCATGTGGTAGGCAAAATATTATCGATACAACCACCCAAAAGTAACAAAAAACTTTATAAAAGTATACAAAAACAACATCTAGCCAAACATGTCATAAAATTGAAGATCTTGAAAATAAAAACGACACGTGTAACATTTATAAAAACGTAAAAGAAGCAAATAATGGTATTTTCAATAAAAGACAAACTGCACTGCTAGATGAGAACATGGTAAAGTAATATTTGAAGTAGAAGACAAACTAAAAGAATAGGAAAGTTACATTGGGAACTTATTCAAAGACTATAGGATTAGTATACCTCCGGATAGTACTAACTACGACGGACCCTTAATAAGCCCGCTTTAAGGTAAATTTCACGTGTAATATACAAGCTTACAAATGATAGCAATGTTTTTGAGGCTATAACTTCGTTTTTCAAATAATTTGTACCAGCCAAGAACTACCTAGTAGTTCGTTACTACCATAGAACGTTACTATTTAGTGATAGATATACCTCATGTAACACAGAAAACATGGCATCACTAGTACATTTATTAGACAAAAAGCCTAACTGATTTTGCGATAAAATATTATGATTAAGGAGAAAGGGCATAAGTCGAACTTTTATAAGCCTTTCAATAATTTTTGATAGTGCTGGTAACAAGGCAATATGTCTATAGTTGCAGGCATCAGATTTTTCTCCACCTTTATGAAGAGGGATGGCAGTCTTTAGGCAGTTAGGGAATGTACCTTTTTGTACTACGGCGTGTGCTTGTGCACACTATTGTGTACGCTATGTGCTTTTTATACTACGAATTGTTCGAATGAGTTCAGTCTTATCAACTGGCCTTAAAAAGAAGGTATCAGCAATATTTTTTGAATTAGGGAGATAGGAAACTGGATCTTGTTGTGGCGAAATAGTTGAGGTTATATTTTTACTCACATTAACAAAGTAATCATTTAGATTTTCGGGGTTAGAAAAAGAAAAGGTTTGATTCGCTGTACTGGTTTTATTTCGAAAATCGTTTATTATTGACCAAGTTTCTTTTGAAATATTTTTGGAGCTTGTTGGGCGATTATGAAAGTAGGATTTTTTGGCTACTTTGAGTAGTTTCAGATAGTATTTTCTATACTTATTGATATAATCATAGATGGGAATACTGTCATTAAATTTTTTAATATATAGCAGAGAACGCATGTTCTTCGGAGATATGCGAATGCCTTTGGTAATCCAAGGTTTGTAATGTTCTGCCTGATGTATAATAGAGGAAATGCTTTATTAAAAATAGATAAATAGATACAAGTCCATTTAGAAAATCACTAACATTACAGTCAATGTCCCCAGAAGAAAAACTCCAGTCAAAAGTCAAGCATGAATTATCGAATTTACAAAAGTTTTGAGTGGAAAAAATCCTATCTAATCGTCGGGTCTTTGAGTGGGGTATTTTTAAACTGCTAAACTTGGTATATACCGCTTCATGGTCAGAAAGCCCCCACTAATAACTATAGAATGGACGTCAGCGGATGGAAAATCAGAAACCACATAATAAATTGTTGAGGATGATGTTTTTGAGATTCTTGTTGGAGAAGTAACGTGCATTGTGAGACCATATGATTCAAAAATAGTTACCAAAGACAGTTGGGTCTTCCAAAATCACCACATAAAATTTTTCTGCTTTTAATGGGCAAAATATCTAACAAATTTAGCAGGCTCTGAAAAAATAGTTCAGTATCGGATCTAGGTGATCTATAAATGCAAACTATTTTTAATAATTTTAAAATGTTACATTTTTAAATAAAAAAAAATTAACGAAATGAAGTTCAGTTATCAGTTAGGATTTCTTTTTTATGTTTGTAAGATTTTTGGTAACCGTAATTAAACTTTTGTACATTTAAATTTAAATTTTTTGTAAATTTTGGTTTCAGTTCCTGTACCAACCGCTATATACATTAAAATGTATTTTTTAAATTTTCTCGAAAAAGTGGTGCTGTTACTTATACCACTTTAGTTCCAGGCTAGCCAATTGTAAGTTAAGATAAAAAAAAAATAGTTTATTTTTTTTTATCTTATACAAGCAGTTTATTAACAAAATAACCGTGCATTCATTAATACGGTGCACGATTATTCTTCTTTTTTTAGTTAAAGATGGCTATTTATAAAGCGTGGCAGGAACTTCTTTGTTTTAAGTGTTGTGTGTCTAGGAACATGTGCCAAAATTCAGATCAGAAAATATAAGTGGCAGTAATACCAAATACTCACAACTAATTTCCAACTAACTGTTCGTCGGCAGTCGGTGTTTACGAACATCTCTGTTTATTTGTACTAAGTGAAGGTTGCTAAACTAATATAAACATTATAATTAGGTACAGCAGGAATAACAGGGATATTTAGAACAAACCCCGCACATACATAATCAAAATTTAAAGTAGCGAAGTAAATGCATCGGTTGTATGTACTGAGTTTGTTTGAATACGAAAACTACTATGTAAGTACAACTAGATGTGAACAACTTTCAATATTTCTAAAACTGTGTTTCGTAGCCTGAAGTTGCTTGTAGGAGTTGAATTTGAAGTTTTGTATTAAAACACTGACCAACAACAGTGCTTCTACTACAATTTTTGTTTCGTTTTATAGGGAATGAATTTATGTCGAGTTTTAATAATATTGATGTTATATAAAAATATCCGGCAAGTCAAATTTTATTTTTCTATTTTCTGCGAAACAAATTGCATATCAAATTCCTTAGTTAAATGTAGTCGAATCTCATTTTACATCTTACGTAAGTAATAATGCAGACTTGCAAGTTTAAAAAATATATTATGAGATACAAAATTGAAAATATTAAAATAAAATTTAAAGGTCAGAGTTGACTAAATTTTATTTACTAGGAAAATTTAATAAAGAATCAAAGGTGCTACTTGCAAAGAGATCTAATCACCATTTTCCCAATATTTATTTTACTATTCTTCTTCTTTAAGTTCCATCTTCTATCTAAGGATGGAAATCATCATGGCTATGAGGACTCTGTTGACTGCCGCTCTAAAAATTCTGCACTACTGCATTCAAAAAATTCCCTTAAGTTCTTAAGCCAGGATATTCTTCGTCTTCCCACATTTCGCTTTCCTCGGATTTTGCCTTGCATAATAAGTTGTAATAATGCGTATTTTTGCCCTCTAATTACATGCCCTAAATACTCAAGTTTTCGTCTTTTGATATTTGGTATTATTTCTGCCTTATTTCCTATCCTTCTAGTTACTTCCACGTTTGACATTCTTTGAATCCATGATATTCGCAGGATTCTTCTGTATCACCAAAATTCAAAGCAGCCAACTTATTCAGATGGACTTGATTTAGTGTCCACGCTTTCAATCCATAAAGAAGAATAGAGAACACATAACAACGAACATTCTCAGGCGTAGTTCTAATCTTATATCCCGACAACAAAGAAACTTTTTAACTTTAATGAATGACGCACGAACTATTTCAATACGTATCTTAATTTCTTTGGTTTGGTCTACATCTGATGTTATCCATGTTCCTAAGTATTTATAGTTAATAACACTCTCAATTGCAGTATCTTCAATAGTCAATTGGATATTTGCATGTGCAGATTTAGTCATGATCATGCATTTAGTTTCTTTAAATTTATCTTTAGTCCATATTCATGACAGCGTTCATTAAGGCGTTGCATTACGTTCTGTAAATCATTGTTGTTATCCGTCATTATTACTGTATTGTCTGCAAAACGTAAGTTATTCAAACTTCTCCATAAATAGATATACCTTCTATTGAGCCTAAGAGCGCTTCTTGAAATACCGATTTACTGTTGACATTAAAAAGTAGTGGGGACAGCACGCAACCTTGGCGAACTCCTCTCTGTATTTTGATATTTTATATGTTTGATTCCAATATAATTTAGATATAAGCTTTTTATGTTGAACCTTATCAAATGCCTTTCGAAAGTCTACAAAACATAAGTACATGTCCTGATTCATGTCAATGCATCTCTGAGCTAGCACATTCAAGCCGAACAAAGTATCTCTTGTAGTCATATCATTTCTAAAGACAAATTGTGTGTCACTAATTTTATATTCAAGAGTTTTAAGAATTCTGCTGTGAATTATTTTCAATGTTTTAACTATGTGACTCATCAAGTTGTTGCACTCAGCATTTTGGGAATTGCTGCAAAGGTCGATTGCAGCCATTGTCTGGGGATTGTGGCAGTCTGATAAATTAGATTAACGAGTTACCATTACATCAGTAACATCTTCACCGATGAGTTTTAATAATTCGATGGGCACATCATCTGGTCCAGTAGCTTTACCCTCTTTTCTGTTTTTGGTGGCATAGATGACTTCTTCTCTTAATGGTCCGGTATCCTCGGTGATTTCTAATGACAGTTCTTCTCTTTTATCATTATATAGTTATTGGATGTAATTGATCCAGTAATATAATCTCTCCTTCATATCAGTAATAATATCCCCTTTATCATTTTTAAGGATATTCGGTCTTGTACGTTTTTTGGAACCTGTCATTTCTTTGATTTTTTGCGTGTAAATTAAAGCTATCATACTTTTTATCCAGATCTTCTATTTCCTTGCATCTGTTGGAGAGCAACTTCTCTTTTGCCTATCGAATTTTCTTTCTGATGTTTCTCTGAATTTCTTTGTATTTATTCAGGTCTTTTGCTTTATGTTTTCTTCGTTCTTCCATAAGTTCAAGAAGTTCTACTTACACAAAAGGTTTTGTTTTTTCTCTAAGTTATTTGAGGGTTTCTTTCCCAACTGACACAAGGCCAAGTTGAATTTTTCCCATTTTTGATCAATAGTTAGAGTTTCTGCATTATCTTCGTTTTTCGACTTTTCTTAAGTTCTCGTTTATTTTAAATTTTGTTTCCGCATATGTGCTGTCTTGTTTAAGACGTCTTGTATCCATGATTTTCTTGGTGCTAGGGCTGGTGACCTAGTTTCACTCTCATCGACAAAACAACCGGGTTCTGATTGGAGGATATGTCCGATCCTAGATAAGTTTTAGATGATATTATAAAATTTCTACATCTTCTGTTTACGATAATATTATAATCTATTTGATTTCTGACTATTTTGTTGTAATTGTCAGCTGGTGACCTCCATATATATAGTCTACATTTAGAAATTTTGAACAAGGAATTTGTAATTATGAGTTTCTCATTGACACAGAAATGATAAGCCTATCGCCACGTTTATTCCTTTCCTCAAGTCCATATCACCTCATGCAATTCTCCACTTTTTCTTGGCCCACTTTATCGTTCAAATCGCCTATTACAATATTCATATCTTGTCTTTTAGTTAGCCTTAAGATATTGTCGATTTGTTCATAGAAGGCCTCTATGGAGTCTTTGTCCTTGTCTGCAGTGGGTGCATATACTTTGATTAAATTTATTTTATGTTTTAAATGAGAGTTTAGAGACAGTATTTATACTCGATCAAAGCAGGGAACAAAGTTACAAACAGCTTTCTGAAAATTCTTATCAACTATAATGCCAACCTACTAGTGGTGCTTGAAGTCGTTGTTTCCAGAATAATACATTGTTCCATTTCTGGTGTTACATTTTCCTGATTCAGGCCATTATATATCGCTAAGCCCCAGTATGTTAATTTTCATTCTGCACATTTCCGATACAGCATTATCCAGTTTGCCTGATTGGTATAAACTTCTTACATTCCATGTTCCGATTTTCAAGGCTATAAAGTTATTCTTATTTGCTTGACAGGGATTTATCTTGATGACGATCTGAGAGGCCCTGTCGTCTAATTCTGATTGTTCTCCCCTGCCGCATCTTGGATTCCGAGCTTTATGATCATTAAGTAAATTATCCATTAGTGGATCCATGATGATTTTTACTAAGGATAATGATAATAGATTTTAATGTGGTAGCCATGCCCTGGCTTTCCACATTTCAATGCCGTTGACTAATTTAGTTCTTCCGCCTTCGGAGTTAATTTCTATGCTCTATGGCAATGAAGTGCCCTACCACGTGTCAGTTATTGCACCCTTAGCTGTTAACTAACAGGTGGGATATTACATATATTCTATAGTAGCACATAATGCACAATTCTCATTATTTACTTTTGATTCAGGGATATCAAAAAGGAAAACCCACTGAAGATGCATTCTGTACTCATAACAGCTAACATCTATAAGGCTCTTGATGATGCAAAACCAGCTCTTTATATATTTGTAGATTAGATCTATTAAAGGCATTTGTTGTAGATGAATCGTTCTAGTAGCTTAAACGTCACCGATAGTAGGGCTATTGATCTGTAGTTTTTGGGGTTGCTATTATTTGATTTCCTTGGTTTTATATGGCAATGAGCTTTGAGCATTTAAGTTCCAGTGGTATGATATCGGTCTTTATAATATCTGTAAAAAAGTAGGCCATATATTTTCTTGCATATTTACCGCTGTTAATTAAGAATTGTGAGGCAATTGTTTTTTTATTCCTTGTTATGGGAGTTCTGCTTCCTAATTTTCTTAGTAGTGCCCGTGCTTGCCTACTTGATATGTGAAAGTTAAGACTTATTACAGTTTCCATCTATTTTTGTGGTCCGCTGCATCTGGGCTATGAAGCAGTTCATCGGCTAATTCTTAATCGCTGCTTTCAAGAAAATTTTGGTACAGCTCTTCCTATTATGGAACCAACCAGGAATGTATTTTTTTTTTGGATAGGCTGTTAGTATATAATTTTTGGTCGTGCCTATTACGGCTCCAGCAAATATTTTGTAATTTCTAATGGTAGGTGTATCCAGTCTAGAGTCTTGTTCAGTCTCGCAGAAAACCTAGGTCACATAGCTTTCTTTAGATTCCACCAGGAGCGAGGAATGGATGTGATTATAGGAATTTGGGTTCCTGCCTCTATGATTATTGGGATTGATCCCCTGACGCTACAAGGAATTTTCCAATAGTTAAACCTTAAATCTGGATTAGGTACATTGTGCTAGAAATCTGTTATTAACAAACCATTGATATTTTATTACTTGACCCAAAATATAAGTAAAAAAGCTTTAGTAAAAGTAGTATTAATAGTATAATACAAAAAAAAGGAAAAACAAAAAATATCCAAAAAAACAGCTAGTACAGGCAAAATAGGGTAAAGTGTGCATTTTGCCTATATTTGGTTATTAGGATGTACAGTTTGTATGGATATATAGGAGCATTGGATAGGTTTAAATAATATTTAACCAAATAGCAGCACCAGTGGATTAACTAATAGCATAAACACTATTAGTATAGATAAAGAAACACTCTAAGGAGTAACAGACACTTGTGCTCGCGTTGGTGGTACTGCCATTAGGCAATTTTAAGAAATTTTAATATAACTTCTTAGTCCCTAGGTTTTGCCATTACGTTGGTAATCTTCAACTGTATCATAAAAACTGTACTATTATAGATCATCATATACTCCCACAATTTCACCGACTTCTCAATAACTTTTTTATCCAGTGCCACAATAGAAACCATTGAGGTTTTCTATCATATGCTTTCTTGAGAATAATAAGTACGTACCATATGTTCAATTTTAATTTAAGTAAAAAAATATAAATAGTTAGGTTTTCTAATGAATTGACCAAAACTTGAAACTTTGAAATAGTTATCCAAAAGTTAAAAAATCAAGAACAATAAATTCATTAATAATAATTACATACAATAAAAGCCTCTAGCTAATCTCCAATTTCTTTTTATTCCTTCCCGAGAAATAATTTCCCCACTTAGTGATAACCGCCCTATAGGTGAAAACGGAAAGGGTGACTGCGATTGCCTTAATAGTTTGTCATTAACACAATATTGACCATAATAAAAGAGGGAGCAGGCCTCTAATG